ATTGATGGAAGGGAGGAAAAGAGCTGGGTTCCAGTCCTGCCCCTGACATAAACTGGCTGTGTGACCCTAGGCAAGATACTGAGCCTTTCAGGCCCCTAAGTACCTCTCTAAGATTCTAAGTTGCAGAGTATATACTGACCTGTACCGGTAAATGACATCCCTCCCAGGAGCTCCCCTTCATATAAGAAATTCACAGGTCTAGTCAAGAAATGGGGCAGCTAGGTGGCACAGCAGATAGAGCGCTGGGCCTGGATTGAGGAAAACTCATCTTCCCAACAAATCTGGCCTCAGACACTAGCTATGGGCAAGTCACTTAACCCTGTTTACTTCAGTTTCCTCACTTGTAAAGGGAAGAACATGGTAAACAACTCCACTATCTTTACCAAGAAAACACTAAATGGGGTCACAAAGAGTTGAAAATGACTGAAAAAACGACTGAACAACAGTCAAGAAATAATAATGATAATTGAGAGTGATATCAAATGTTAAGGTTTGCAACGTGCTCTATACAAATTATCTCATTCAGTCCTTATATCCTTGTGAGGTAGATTCTTCAGGTGCTATTATCCCTTTACAGAGGAAATCAAGACTGACAAATATTATCTAGGATCTGGTCTTCTAGACTCCAAATCCACCAGTCCATCCACCATGTAATGCTGGACAGATTCAAAGGGGCGTGGTCCTTGATCCCTCATGCCTTCCAACTGTAGAGTAGCATTCTGGGGGCAGCAGAAGCAAAATTAATTTCATTCTGTTTTATGTCCTGTCCACCTCTTAGGCAAAATAATGATAATAACTAAAAATGACTCAGATGGATATGGTGCTTTCAAGTTGACAAAGTACTCTCTGTGCACTGACTCATTTGATCCCCACAATAATTCTATATTATGTTATCCCCATTATCCTGAGGCTCTGAGAAATTAAATGAGCTGCTGCCTGTGACCATAAAGCTAATAAGGGTCAAAGGTGGAACTTGAACTCCAAGTCTAGGATTCTTTCCATTACACTGACAAACCTCTCTTAATGCAGCTGCTGTTTCAAATGGAGCTGGTCCAAAGTAAGGGTCATAGCTAACGTATCTGTGAACTTGTGAAGTGGTTAATGCTCACCAGTGGTTGGCAAAGTGTTAGACTGTGAATAGAAATAGGCTGTCACTTCTGTTCCTAATCTAATCTCAGGTCCATTTAATTGATGGCTGTTGTCATTATTAGGGATCTAGCTTTTCAAAAGTGTGTTAAAACAGCTTTGGGAATAAAAGAACAAACAGAAGAAGTCCTTATCCTTTTGCCAAGCTCAATCAATATCTTTTTGATATACTAATATCCCTTCCTTCCTTCCTACCAGGAGTAATGAGAATTAACTTAGAAAAGTTAACCATTTGTAAAATTAGTAAAAACTAACCTTTAGTTGTAGCAAAATTAACTGTTTGGTTCTAGGGCCTGAAGAACTGGAGAATGTTTGCCTCGCCATTGCTGGATCCTGGCTGATTTATGGAGTTCAGCTTGACACCAAGAGCTAGGCAGAGACAACCACAAAGATCACTTTGGATCAGATCACCCCAGACATTGAATAATAGCTCACTGTTGTGGGGAGAGGGCAGATAGGAGGGTGGCAAAGGCAGAGTCTAAGGCAGGGAGGCACACACCAATACCCTTGATCCAAATGTCTCTGGAGGTTGAAATAAAGTCCCGAGCAGCAATTTTGACAGGAGAGAGAGAGCAGGTGCTCCAATTGTTTTGACAGCCGGGGAAATAAACAGAGGTATCTATTTCACTGTAACATCCAAAGCACTCAAGATTTCACTCCAAATACTTTGTCATCACATCGATCAGACATCAAAAAAGCCTGCTCAACATTCCCACAGCCTCCACTCTCGTTACCTATTATAAAAACATCTACTGGAGCTCACAATAGATGTGCGGGAGTGTTCTCCATCCCCCCTGTCTTTTAGTGGAACCCAGATCCCTGGGGACAGTATGTGGGAGCTATAAATGACCAGTACGGGGAAGAGAGGGGATGGATCAAAGAATACAGCCATCCATGAGGGCCTGGGCACTGCTTGATTCTACCTGTCAGATTTCCTTTTCTAAACGTTTAAAAGTTTCCTCTTCTTTGTGAGACAATTCCCATTCCGATTTCTAACTTATGGCTTATGCTATGGGCCATATTATTTCACAGTTGAAGTGGCTGTTGTGTGGCACCTGGGCTACCTGCTTACACACTTTATTCCAGAACACCTACCATCTTCTTTGGAAACTTGGTGCTTCCTGTCCAAAGACATAGGGCAGGGGGGTAGGTGGCAGGAAGATGGGAGATGGGAGCTGGGCAGGGGTAGCAGCAATTTGGACATGAAGATGATTCTCTTGGCATGGCTACTTGCTTTGGCTGGCTTCCTGCTGAATCCTGGAACTCCTTGACTACTCAGGCCTTCTTTGTTGCAAGTGAGAGACCAGAGAGCTCGATGCCAACAAAACAGCCCCGTGGCAAATGGCCACTTGCCTAGTTTGGATGAGTTATGATCCAGACCAGGTGAGAAGAGAGGAATGTTGGCCTTTATTCAAAGGACTAGAGAAAGTTGAGACACAGAATCTTAAAAATAGATAGATAGATAAACAAATAGACGATAGATAGATAGATGCATGCATTTTGTTTTTACATCAGCTAGTACAGACATACTGTTTTCCCTACTCCCAATACTTCCTTATAAGGTAAAACAATAAGTATTTATTAAGTGCTTACCATGTGCCAGAAACATTAGTGATTGTCAGTAAATGTTAGTGATTGTTAGGAAATGTTAGTTATTATTATTATTATTATTATTATTATTATTATTATTATTATAGGTAGAGACAAGAAGTGACTTGTCCACGGTCATAACAGATGACAAGTAGAAGAACCTTAATTTGTGTTAAATTATATATACCTGTAAGTGGAGGGAAAGCACTTACCTCCCTGCTGGCAAGAAAGTAGGACAAAGGTTGGCTACCCACTTCCAGCCAGCCTTTCTAGGTAAAGCTCCCAGGGTGATTTGAATTTTACAGATGAGGACACTGAGGCTTAAGTGTTGGGTTAAGTGATTTGTCTGGGGTCACATAGCTAGTAAGCATCTGAAGCTGGATTTGAACTCAGGTTTTCCTGAATCCAGGCCAGGTGCTCTGAACACTTTGATGCCATCTACCTGCCTGGAACAGAGGCATAAGAAGTTAAAAAAGATTTTCCCACAACGGCTCAAAGATCACAGTCCAAGGAAAAGGGGGAAAGGAAAAGGAGAATAAACATTAAATAAACACTTGCTGTGTGCCAGGAACTGTGCTAAGGATTTTTAAAAGCATCATTTCATTTGATCCTTACAACAATTCTTTGAGGTAGGTGGTATTATTATTATCCCCATTTTACAGTTGAGGAAACTGAGTCAAACAGAGCTTAAGGGACTTGCCTAGGGTCACACAGGTAGGAAATGTGTATAGGGCTGAATTTGAACTCGGGTTTTCCTGACTCTATGTCCAGCACTCAAAGATGGGCTTAATGCCATGAGTGCTGCTGCTTTTTTTTTTTTTGGCAATTGGGGTTAAGTGACTTGCCCAGGGTCACACAAGCTAGTTAAGTGTCAAGTGTTTGGTCTGAGGCCAGATTTGAACTCAGGTCCTCCTGACTTCAGGACCGATGCTCTATCCACCGTGAGTGCTTCTCTGATTGGCTGGCAAAGAGTCTGAATTTTGGGATCTGAGATAGCTGCTGGGGCTATGAACTAAAAGAGCTGAATCCCCTAACTCAAAAGTGACAATTCCATGTAGAACCAGCCTGTGGCAGCAGCAGAGACCTAACAACTATTAGCATAATGGAGAGAACAGACCAGCAGAGAAATCTACTATAAATTATTCTACATGTACATATATATTGTACATATATCTACATGTAAATATATGTACAAATCTACATCTTTTATTCCTGTTCTTCAGAGTTCTTTGTTGGTTCACACCCACCTTGTACCTCTCTCCACTGCCCTCTTTGTGATACTTATTTTAACTCTTCAGAGATTGCTGTATTCTACGGTTCTCTGCTATAGCACAACACTGGTAGAGTATTGACATTAAAAAGATGGATCTTTGCTTTTCTGGAAAGTTTGGGGTCATTAGAGGAGTTCTGTGATTTCCTGAAGGCAATCCAACTCACTCTGTTCTTTCTACCTATCTGTACTATCTGTCTAGGATAAGCACTATAGGTTGTCCATCCAAATCAGCTCCAAAGACATTTTTCATCCACTTGGACTTTACTGTGTGGATGATCAGACCAAACTCCTGGGAGTGATTACAGAGATCTGACAGTAGGATCTATAATAGTTTGAAGTTTGATACAATTGACACAATGTCATTCACAAGTTGCAACATCTATAAGACCTCACTAACCAAACTTCTGGTTGATTTGGTAAAATAATTACCAGTGTCAGCTCGTGAGCTATGTCATTTGAGAGGCTGTTGAGCCAAATATGCCTTGATCCTGGGGTAGATCTGAGAGGTCCACGATTGAGGAGGGCCTGGGCTACCATATTCCTATGGATCTGTGATTTTATTGATTCAGGATAAAGGTTACAAACTATCCGGGCTCATACATCCTATGTGACTTGTCTATGTTCTCCCAAAAGTTAATCCCAGGGATCCACCCAAATTTAGCAGGGCTCTTTTTTTGTTTTGTTTTATACCAAAGGAGTAATAAAATTCCTTTGAAAATTAACTAATTCAAAGGTTTAGGTTAGTTTGTTTTCTTTGCTATTTTAGATAGGTCTCTTTCTGATCTCAGCAGAATTAGGGGCATTGAACTGTCTCTCAAAGTCCTTGCCTAATACATGAAATTGTATTAAGCACTACAAGTCCAGGACAGCAGTCCTGAGTGGGAGGAGGGGTTATGGCGGTTAATGACTATAAAATGCCCAGAAGAACTGAGTTCAGTGTTGATGCTGGAGGCAGCTGTTCAAGGTGGCAAGGTCAGAGAGAGATGCTGCTCTGGCCATGTGCTTAGCATGACCAGGAGCAGCCCCAGCTTGGGATAAGAAGGAAGCCAAAGGGCAGAATAGACAGAACAAGGGCATTCCAAACTAGTGGCTTCCACCAAGTATGTAGACTGGCAGCAGCAGGGCTGAGACAGCAGTAATATTGCTCTGTATATCTGAGAAGGTCAGCCTGTGCAGAATGCTGCCACCCAAAGACTTCAGAGCTGGGATCTGGGGAGACTGGCAAGAGGGCAGTGATGGTGGAAGAGGCATGGGAGAGGGCTTCAGACCCTCAGGGCATTCCAGGATGAGGTGCAGCTGTGTGAGGGAGGTGACGATCCCCAGAGTCACAGGAACAGGCTTTCCCCCTGTGACTGCTCTGGCACTGAGGACAGCTTAGCTCATCTCTCACAACTCGTGTTGTTAAGCCCTCAGGACAAAGTGTTACATGATTTGGACATGTCTTCTCAGCAGGAACTATGTGAATCTCAGCTGGGAAGGCTGATTTTTTAAACTAGAGAACATCGTGGAAACGCAAATGAGCACAGGTAAGACAATGCCAGAAGCATTTATTAATCAGCTATTATGTACAGAGCACCTCCTGACTCCTAAATATATAATGCCAAAGCAAAAACAGACCTTCTCTTCTATTAAAAGAATTGGAAAGTGCTTGCTTCACAACCATCTTGGGAAGCAGGTATTATTATCCCCATTTTTAAAATGAGAAAACGGAGACTGAGAAGTCTGAGTGCCTTGTCTATGATCACACAATCTGACATGGGATTTGAACCAGGGTCTCTCGATGTTATGTTCAATGTTTTACCCACTCTGCCTGGCTGATCTATCAGACCCAAACCTAAACCCAACTCTTCATGGAGTGGTGGTTAGATGTATAGAAAACATAAATACACTCTTTGCTTTTTAAAAAATTGTTTTGTTTTATTTTAAGATCCATATTCTTTCCCTTCCATTTTTTTCCTCATGCATTTTTTCCTTCCCAACTTGAGAAAACAAGAAAAACAAAATCCCCTGTTATAACCATGGGTAACAAAGCAAAACAAATTCCTGCATTGGCCAGTTCTTAGATTCTTACAAAGGATGCTCTGATTGGTGGGGTTTTGCCATCCCAAGAGAACGTGGATTTCCCCTCCCAATGGTCCTGAACAACTCTAATACAAAACTTACTTACAATCGAGAATTTTGATTTTTTTGGTTTAGCTTTACTCAGACTTTGTGTTATCTTTCTCTACCAGAGATGCACTCCATCACCTGGGACAAGGGGAATCAAGACTTAAAGAAAATATACACATTTTCCCTTAATCCAGGGGATGGAGTTCCTCTCCCTTAGGGAGAGTTTTTAACACAGAACTTGAGCAAAGGCTTAAACAAAGGCATTTAAATTCCTTAATCCTACAGATATAACCACCCCTCAGAGAGGCTTTGTGTCATTTACTCTCAGCACTTACAATGTCTGCCAGAGATACACATCAGAATCTTAGCATAAATACCACAAATTTCAACATCAAGCATATTGATGTGGGAAGGAGCTCTGCCTTCTTCTTGTTTAAGGAATTATTCTTGCTAAATGGTGGAAAAACAGTTGTTCCTACACTGCTTGAAGGGTTGCAGGTGCTATCAGTGCCTTTAAAATTCAGCGACCTGGGAAAAAGTGCCAGCTGCCCTCCCCTGGTTCAGCTCTAATGTGTGCCCTCTCTGGTAGCCTTTGCCTACCTGAGGAGGCAAGTAGAAGCCTCTCAGAAACCTGACTTCTCCCAAAAGCCAAACAGTAACATCATAGGATCATAGATTTCGAGCCGAACCATTTATTAAGCACCTACTATGTGCCAGGCACTGTACTAAGTGCTTTACAAATATCTCATTTGATCCTCACAACAATCCTGTGGTAGATGCAATTATTATTTCCATTTTACAGTTGAGGAAACTGAGGTAGACAGAAGTTAAGTGACTTGCCCAGAGTTGCACAGCTGAGATGGAATTCGAACCCAGGTCCTCTGACTCCAGGTCAGTGCTTTTCCCACTAAACTGTTCTGCCTCTAAGGGGGAGTCCCTTCCTCCTCTCCTAGGGTCAGAACTAGAGCGGTCCTTTTTGCTACTCCCTGCAGTGGCCCAGGAGCACCAGGTACCTGACTCACAGACTCCAAGGTTTCAGGTGACATCCCGGAATAGTTTCACAAACAGATGTAGATCGGGCTCCTCTTGGACTGGGCAGCACACGAGGTCAGAGTCAGCAAATCCGCCCCTAAAAATAGGCTCTGGTTTCCAAGCTGGTGAGGTTGCCTGTGGGGCTCCGTGATATGCAACCAGGATACCTGCTCGCTCCGGTGCTCGTGGTGCTCACAGGTAAGCCAACCCAGGAGGGAAAGCTTAGCAGGGCTGCTGTTGCGCATCACTGGTGCCTTTCCTCAGGGGGCTGGGAGTAAAGAGAAGGAACAAAAGTCTCCTCTTCCAAGCAGGTTTAGAGGCAAAGTGTGTAGGCACCCCTCCCCCCAACGCCCATGTAATAGGTGGCTCAGGGACGGGCAAGATAGGAAGATTAGAAGTTCCAAACTGCAGGTGTGGGAGGCTGGATTGGAGCTCAAACTCTTGCTCACACAGAGGTTTTTTGTCAAACAGGAGAAAGCAGAACTTTCTACGGATGGCACTCCTTTGATCTCGTTGTCAGGGTCCCCTTGGACAAAGTTAGCATGAGCCTGTTTCTTTTTAGTGCCATTGTCCTAAGCTAAGAGACTTTCTTTTGGCCTCTTTATTGGCCTGAATTGTCTTCCTCCTCCCTTCCCTCACATCTGATCTCTTTAGTTCAATCACCCTTCTCCAAGGCTGAGACTGTAGTGTAAAGTTCTAGGGGTCCTTGTGAGACATGGGAGGTAATGCGTAGCATAGCAACTTCTGGGCTCTTCTTTAAACTTTAAATTTACCCGTTTGGCCAAGAAGCCTGATAAGGGTATGGATTCAAGGAGTTCTTGACATGAGTGCTAATGTCAATAAGTAAATAAGAGTTGAAATATTATTAATAATTACATCTGGGATGATTATTTTACCTTATGTACCCTATTATTATACCTTATATGTGTATGGTACAGTGGAAAGAAAACAGAGGACTGAGGTTCAAATCTCACACTTGGTATTGACTAGACAAGTCACTGACCCTCCTCCCCCTGCCTCAGTTTCCTCATCTGTAAAATGAGTGGGGGCAGACTTAGCTGGCCTCTGAGGTGTCTTCCAGTTCTAGTTTTATGATCCTATGGCCCTTCGTATGTTACGTTTACTCCTAAAACATTATTCTAATGATGGCCTTATTTTAACCTCACCTGAGCCTTGTAAGGTGGGAAGGGCCACTTTACACGTGGGGTGTCCAGGATTTGCAGCAGAAGTGAGTGGCTTGAGGTCACAGGGATAGATCATGTCAGCAAAGTAATACTTGAAAGGACCACTTCACTCTAACCAGGTAGCCACACCTGAGCTTAGCACCTAGTTCCCAGGAATAATTAATTAAAACAGGAAGCTGCCAGAACCCTCTTCCCAATCCCTACCCTTTTTCTCCCCTCTCTCCCATTACACCTCAGAAAGTAGCTTATCTTGAGAGGTAGGTGTCTGGTAATCTGTTTCCCTACCACAAAGCATTATCCTGGGGGCTTTCCCTCTCCAGGTCTTCTGACCCAGGGTCCTTTCCCATATGCATTTGTCTTAAAATGATGATTTGAGGACTCTTTCCTGCTACTCGCTAGCAGATACTTACTAGCTCTGTGACCCTGGACCAGTCACTTAACCCTGTTTGCCTCAGTTTCCTCATCTGTAAAATGAGCTGGAGAAGGAAATGGTAAAGCACTCCAGTTCCTCTGCCAAGAATACCCCAAATGGGGTCATGAAGAGTCGGACATGACTGAAACAACTGAACCACAACAATCCTGCTACTTGCCCCAGGCTTCAAAATCGCTTTTTGTTTTCCATTGCCAGATTTCCCTGAGTGTCCTATCCAGGACAGTGTCCTGTTCCCAGCCCAGGGCACTTCCTGTTAGATCATGGTGTCCCATCAACTGTGACTCTGAATCACTACTGTACCTGGAACCCAATAGCCACCATGTAGGGACTGTCTCATAGCTTAAGAATGTAATGAAGCTTAGAAAGAGGAGGGGTACATTCAAGAGTGGAACATCCAGTCCTCTTACCTAAAACCATTGGTATGAGTGGATACAGACACTGGATGGTTCCCGCTCCTGCAGCATAATTTAATTAGAACTGGATTCTGTTCTGAAGAAAGTCACTCTGTTCCCTGTAAAATGACATTGCTCTCAGATGATCAGGGCATAAATTTTGGAGGGCTTCAGAGCCATGTCCTTTAGGGATGGGGCCTAAGGGAAGGGACGTTATATGGGCATTAGTCTGGCATGAAGATGAGTGGGGGACAAAGACCCATAGGGTCATGGGATTCTGAGTAAGAAAGGAACTTGGGCATCATCTAGCCAGACGTTCCTAACCCTTTTTGGTTTGGGTCAAGGACACCTTTGGAAGTCTAGTGAAGCCTTGACTCCCTTCTCAGAATAGTGTTTTTAAATGTACAACATAAAATATTGGATTAGAAATTGGATTTGTAACTGGATTACAAAGGAAACTAATTTATATTGAAATAAAGATGTCATTTTTTCCCCATTCAGTTCATGGACTCCAGAAATTTAACTAAGAGCCACTGCATCCCAGGTTAAGGACCTTTGATCCAGTCCAATTGAAGTTAAATATTTTGCTCAAAGTCACCAAGGTAGTGAGTGGGCAGAATTAGGATTCAGACACAGGTCCTCCTCTCATTCCAAAGCCAGTGCCAAGAGGCCCTTTGATGGAGTCACCCTCTCTGCTGACCACAGGAGGCTGGTCTGATTTGCCTGGGCCTAGAGGGGAAAATTGTCCCAGACAGACTCCCTGTGGCTGCTCTGTCACCTCTCTGCTCCCTGGGCCTCTCTATGCCTCCTGTTGGGTATAAAAGTTTGAGTCCTGGAAAATGGCAGAGCCAGGAAAGAACCTCTCTGCAGAGAAGGCCAGGGCGGGGAACAGGCTCTTTGGATTCAGAAAGCTTTCAAGCCTTCCAATAGAAATTACATGGAGGATCAGAGCTCATTGTGGTTTTGTTTTTGTTTTTTTGTTTGCTAGGGACTCCCTAATGAGTCCCAGAAGACAGATCCATGATGAACAAGGAGGTAATAGCTAAGATTCTAGGAAAAAATTTAGGGTTTCTGAAGCCCCTATGGGAGGACACTAAGTCAAGAGGATGAAATGCATTGGAATTTCCATCATCAGTGAGAAGTTCAACATGTTCTTATGCAGGTGGAGCTGACCTCAATGCTGGCACATTTCTCCAGTGCAGCCCCAGAGGGTCTGCTTAAAGTATGAATGAACTCGGCCCTAGTCAGGATAATAGGAAAATGACATGTTTCCATTGCCCAGGCACTGAGTGAAGTTCATCAAATAAACAGGCCGGAGTGCTTATGGAAACCTCCTCTGTGGTTACTCTGGCTGCCTATTTCCTTCTAGTGACTCA